TTTTATTATATTTATATTTTCATTATTTATATTTTATTTATATTTTTATTATATTTTTTAGTTATTAAGTTACTAAACTTTAGTTATTAGTTATTAAGTTTAGTAACTTAATAACTAAAAAATATTTCAATGACAAGACAAACCGGTCATACATCAATCCTCCACTGAATAAAATTAATACGATATGCTCACTTTTTTTGTGCTTCGAAATCATTGTAAATAATCGATTTGAAAATAGAAACTATCCTCCATTTCCAACCGGTCCTGCTAGGTCTGGCTAGGGTCAAGAATGCGCGTACGTATTTAATGAAATACCGATCGTATTTGGTTTGCACTTAGTATGTCATATACACGATTCGATACAGTTATCCTATGTGAATCGTAGAGTTACTTTCTACGCATTTTTCCCATCCAATTATTATTATTTGCCTTACTACATATCAAGAAATTAATAATATTCTGATTATCAGAGAATTGAATTTGAGACTGAAAATCAGAATTTATGATTATAATGGCTTCTTCTTTTTCTTTTCGTCCTCACATCGAAGAAATTTTTTATTTTATTTTCAATAAAATTCAATTAATTTGTATCTTGAATTTTGTCTTTAACAATTGTCGAAAAAATATTTCTAATTATATATATATATAAAGTAAAAAGATATTAATACAATATCTTTAAGAAAATATCCGTTGTTTATTATTTCGTATTATATCGTTATTCTTTTTTTCATATTTCTGTTTTCTGTAATTCAGAGAAAAAAATCTCTATCTCAAAATGAAAGGTATTAATACCAGAATGAAAGATTTAATCTAGATCTATCACGATTTAATCTAGATCGATTAGACAAAATCTATTTTTTTTTTCTTGATAAATAAATGGTTTATGACAATCCATTTATCGATCGACCAACTCACTTGTCGATTAATAAAAATTGAAAAATTTTGCATTTCGATATATTCTTTATTTAATTCGTTTATTTGATTGAATTAATTGGAATATTATTGAAGATAAAATCAATCATTTGTATATTGTTATAGCACAAAAAGAGCCTCTTATCAAGTCTCTCGATCTAAAATCGTAATTAGAGATAATTCATTGGCTCCACTCTGTCTGTTAGAACGTAAATATAATTAATATTATAGTATGTAATTATGTACATACGTAGTAATGTGGCTATCAAAAAATTTAAATTTACGTTTTATTTCTTTATCTTGTCATATTTTTGAGATATTATATTACTCAATTATAATTAATATCGCACTATATTAAATATATTTTTTTGCCATTTTAATTATATTTGATATCTTAATATATTACTTGTTTTAATATATCATTCAATATTGATAAAAAGTTAATGGTTTGTCGTTAATATCAAAAGAAATATTGAACTAAATAAATCATTTCTTTAATGATTCAGGTGATGTTTATAAATAAACTTTTTCTAAAAATAATAGTTAAGAAATAATATTTCAAACATATAACTATTTTATTATCAATTTATACAAATACTATTTTAAATCAATTAATCACAAATGATATAATAAGATTTTCTTAAAATATCGATAATTATACCAATTTGATCGATCGAACGTTAATTTTTCATTGCTAATTTTCTTAGAAAAAAAAAAAAAAAAGTTCTATTATTTTTATAGCAATTCTTTGAAGCGAATTTTTTTTTTTTTTTTAAGAGACGAACAGTCAATTTAGGAAGCATATTAGTCACACTGACCGAGCATCGAAGAACTTTCCTTGTCGTCGGGGAGAAGCTATTAGTACGCTGTGAAGGTCTTACTCGACCGTTCAGTTTTACCATTTGAGAGGCAGCGTAGCTGCAGAGTATCATAATGAGCAAGGACGTAATTTTCATGACACGATGACACGATTCCGTGTGACACGTATCTCGGGCAGGGAACAGGTGCGAAATTCGCTATGATTTCAATATACTTTCGATTACTGTTCGTAAGTTATATTTTGAAACACGGGAATTAACATTAAAAGTGTTATAATTGAAATAATATTATAAGAAAAATTAGATATATGTATATAATTATATTTTTGTATATTTAAATAAGAATTAACAATTTTTTGATTAAATTATTATAATTTTATCAAAAGTACAAATATATACATATACAAATTATTAATTATAATTGGGAAAACAAAAAATCAGAAATTAATTAATTTATTTAATGGTAGTTTTAAAGTTGTATAATAATGATATATATATATGTATATATTATAAATACATATATTTTTATTTCGGCCAAACGAGTTTCTGTATTTTTTTTTTTTTTTTTTTTTATCCAGTTAAGGAATCGTCGATTGTTTACATTTTTTT